ATTTATGAAGGAATTTTGTATATGATCGAGTTGGCTACAATTTAAAAAGAAAATTTTTGGTTAAAACAAAGTTTTCTTAAAATGTAAATTTTGCTATTAATGAAATTACATGATGTATTAATTTTAATTCTATACGCTATTTCCCTTCTTAATTATATAAAAATTCATATTTATATCTTAAAAGCTCAACTTCTATGTCTCACCGATTTCAACTTTTTGTCCCATTAAAAAGGCTGGGATGGTAACTCTCACCTTCAACTTTTCATCAGCTCCTGTAATTTTTTTCCACTTCTGGTTCTAAGTCTTCTGTTATATTGCCTGATGTTAGAATGTTTTATCTTAAAGTTTTAATAAAACAAAGTTTTCCTCAAATACAACTTAATACTATACTCTTGACCTTTCTTGATCTGTCTAAATTATTTAATATGGTCAGAAACTTTCTCATGCCGTTGCTAAGAGTCATTTGTTCCCCTCTTCAAGGTTCTAGTTTTTCTTGTTCACGGTCCTCTGTATTATACTGTTCACTCATGACCCTGGGCACACTCTTGCTAATTCAAGTATTGTTTTTATCAGAGTTAGCTTCCAAGTTCTCTAACTGGGCTTCCCAGGAAGAACAAACAAACAAAAAGCAATTGCGCTACAGAAGATTTTCTTTATCTTTTTGGTAACTGGCCTGAAAAAAACAAAGATTTTATGCTTTATCAAGACAATCCCTGTGTTGTCATTATTAGATTTTTGACTGACTAGAAAAACTGAATTTTAAGGGTTAAGGTTTACACCCATATAACTTCCTGCATTGCCTTTAAAGTCTTCTGATGAATTTCACTCTTGGTTAAATAAACCACCGTTATTTTATAGTGATTTGTGATTCTATTTAAACAAATGTTTGAAACCTATAATAATTGACAGACTTTCCAAAAACAAAATTCTAAATTTAGTCCTTTTAACCTCAAACTAGCTTTTAATAATAGAGCCACTAAAAATCCAAGAGAAACTTATTAGGCATACTGGCATGTCAAACCCTGCCGGAAAGCACTGTCAAACATGAAATGGTGTTTAACTTTCCTTGGGTTGTATTCATATAAACATATTATAGATGTCTGTTCCAAAACTGTATGAGATTCGTAAAATTCTAATATGCCCTGGTATATGCTATCAATAATAATTATATATGCTAAACTGTTGTGTGCCACAAAAATAACCAAATCTCCTTTACATCTTTAACCATGATTATTGTAAGACTTTTATCATCCACAGACAATTATTATTTTACTTTGATTCTTCTTAAACTACAGTTTATAATCAGCTATGATCCATGATTTGCTTCTTTCAGAAAAATGTCATAGAAAGAACTAAAATATTATTAATGACTTTTAATTGAAAACATTGCTGATTCTCCTGCTTTGTTTTTCAGAGTCATGACAAGTATTAAGTCAATAGCAAGTTCACCTGCCACCTCCAGGATTTCAAACTATTGAATCCCGCTGGGCCCAATCTGTTATTCACTGCCAAGGCCCTGCTACTAAAACTGCAAACATCCTCCCTCTAGCCCCGGGAGTATCGTGGAAGAGGCGGGCATGTGACTCTGAGGGCTGATTCCGAGGGATCAGATCCGGGAGGGGCACACAGAAGCCTAACCAAATACTCAATGAGACACTTTGTCTTTTCAGGCCACGTGGTCCCAACATCCATCCTGACCATAAAAAATTTCCTGCTTCCCATAGACTTAGAGTTTCCTGAGTATAGTTATTTTCTCTGTTACAGGGTTTATGCAAAAAGAGATATAGCAAGAAATTTATCAGCCACCTTAGGACAAATTGCTAGAGAGACTAAAATATTGTGACACAACAAAAGTCTCTAAATTCCTTAGCTGAAATGGTTGACAGTGCTTACGTGTGTTACAAGTCTGCAGCTTGTGGCTCTGCCTGTTCGTTCTGTCCTGCTGGTCTGTCCCGGCCACTCTTGTCTGAAGGGTCGGTCTTGGCTCTAGAAGGCCCCAGCCAGCTGCAGACAGCTCACTGCCCACACCTGGGTTTGCTCCTCAGATCTGCTAATGTTGATGGAAACCTTACAGGACCCCACTGGCTCCCCTTCTACGCACATGTGGCGGGTTGGAGAGAACAGGGCAGGGGCGGGCAGGACTTACGGGGCCTGGACACGCAGGAGGCACAGGAGGGGAGGCCTCGAACGCCACCCTCAGCTGATCGCAGGTGGCCATTTGCAAGGCCCATTTGCTGGGTGATGAAGCTTCACCCTGGCAGGTGTTCCACCACAGCTGGGTGTCCCACCACTCCTCTCTCCCAGCTGAGGGGTGCAGGTGGGGCCCTCATGTTGCCGTCAGTGGGTGGGGAGCACTGTCTTCCCTCCCTGCAGCGAGCCCTGGTCCCGGGAGCTGGGAGGTGAGCAGGGGCTGGTTCTGGGTTGCCCAAGAAGAAAGGCACATTTTGAAGAAAGGAAGAAAGGTGTGTCTGTCTGTCCATCCGTCTCCCCTCCCCACCTTCCCCCACTCCTTTCCTCTCCTTCGCTCTCCACAGATGCTCCTCCCTCCTCCCAGACCTGGCCTTGTCTGCCCTCCCCCTGGCCCTGCCGTCTGCTCTGCCCACTTCGCCTGCAAACACTGCCAGGGGACGGGCCAGCCTCTTGACTGTCCCTCTTCATCTTGGTTATTTGAAACCAAAACAAACTGATATCAGGAGGCGGCCAGGGCTGGAGGCCAGGACGCCAGGCCACAGGGGTGCTTATTTTAGCAGTTAATGTTCCATTGCTGGGTCAGAGTCTGTCCCAGGACTTGGCACTAACTCAGAGCCTGGCTCCTTGGCCCTCCCCGCGCTTGGCTGGCTCTTCCTCCCTGCTCTCACCTTCCCTCCTTCCTCAAGGAAGCTGTTGCAGGCTTAGGAAATGTGCTGGTCTTGGTTCCGCCTTCGTACTCTCCCGACAGGGCGTGGGGCTCTATGAATGACCTCCCCAACCCGTGTGCACACACACACCTTTGCTCTGAGATTTCAGATTCAATGAACAGGAGGGAAGTCTGGAAGGCAGAGGCCTGGTGTGCACGCGTGCACATGTGCACACACGTGTGTGTGTGTGTGTGTGTGTGTGTTCGCTCACGTGTGCATGTGTAGCCAAGGGCCAGATCAGGGCTGGCAGACAGAACCAAGGCCCTTCCCAGTTCTGCCCGAGAGTCTGTGTGGCTTCAGTGTGGGTGCATGTGTTCAGTATTTATTCAGTGAGCACCTATATGTGCCAGGCACTTTTGTAGACACAGAACAGAAAGACTTCCATTGTAGATGGAAGAAGCAGGCAGTAAACAAACAATAAATAAATACTAGGTAAGAGAGGTGATGGGTGCTATGCAGGCAAATATAGCATAGTGAGGGCTGGAGAGAGAGGGGCAGCTTCTGCTTGGGCTTGGGAGCGCAGCGCTGGCATGGTGCCATGTGTGCACCCCGGGGCTTCCCCTTGGTGGCCATGTCCTTCTTCCCGATGCCTACAGGTTGACCAGTTGCATGGTTTCTATCTATTCCCCTTCCATCCTCCTCCTGTCCCCACAAAAAGCTTCCCTGGATGGCTGTTCCCCAGAACTACCTCTGAGCCTAGTGCAAAGTTGGGGGCCGAGGAAAGGCCCCAGGAATCACCAAGGCCAGGGCTTCTCAAATGCTCACTGTAACTTGTCATCAGGGACACGCAAATTAAAGCTGCAATGAGGTACAGCTAACGCCCAGCAGAATGGCTAATATGAAAAAAGATGGAAAATACCACATGTCGGTGAGTTTGTGGAGCACCTAGAACT